TTTATGCCCTCCAGAGATACCAGATTTTAACACAGCTGTCACAGGACTGGGAGTTATGCATGTTGAGGAAGGCTGGCTTAAAATTTGGCATCTCAAATGAAAATGAAATCTGCAAACAGTAGCCATCTTAGCCTTCATTAACTCCTACAACCTTTAAGTACCAGTATGTATTTTGCAGGAGTCATATTATCCTAGGATGTATGTAGTCATTTTGAGTTCCTGTACCATAATTAATAACAATGATGCACACCATTTTAGCCTCTTTTATTTTTAAAATGTGAGTATTTAAATTTTATATCTGACTTTGTAGTACTTTGTACACTTTGTAATACGTGTTTCTCTGCTGTTTTATAAGCAGCCTCATGTCAAGACCGATATCAAGACACTAAGCTAAAAGCAATAAAGCTCAAACTTTAAAAGTTAAATACAAATAGCCACTAATTTGGATTGTGAAATCTTGAGGAATCAACAGATGCAATTACTATAATGAAAAGCTTGGAAATATGTAGCTAAAGATGTGTTTTAGCACATACAGAACATCGTGTCCCAGACAACGTATTTCTGAAAATGCCAAATCATTTCCAGAACATTCAAATCAACTTCATTAAAGAAGAAAAAAGAAATGTTTTGAAGTCAGTCCAGTCCAATTTGCACTCTCCTATTGGTGAGACTCCAGACATTGCTGAATTGCAATTCCCAATATCCTCCCAACATTGTCCTTGTTACAGTAGGTATACTGGTTAATGCAGAAAACTACAGGCTCCCTATCAAAATGAGATTATGAAAATGCTGGGATAATTCTTATCTAAGTACTATCAATTTTGGCTATCATCATAGCCATCACTGTTCAAATCAATAAAGTTTTGGAGATGTCCAACATGAGGAATTCTTCTTTTCTAGAACTTATTAGTGTGCATTAAATACTCTCCAGGTGACGTATTGTTGATTCAGGCTCTGCTCTTCCACATATTTACTGTGGGTGTTATTCATGCCTGAATATATTAGCAAGGTAATATTTTTAAAATGTTTTGCTAAATCACATTGCAAGGTGTAAAGAGTTTTAGTCAAACACATACATCTTGTTAAGTAGTTTCATTAAACAACACACAGATATAAGAAGCCTTAAATTAAAGCAAGACAAAAAGCCTTTCTGTTGACAATTTAGAGATTTTGAGTATGAAATATTAATCTTCCCAATATTATTGGTGATCTCCAATAAAAGCAACTACCTTAGGTATGTAGCTCTCTTTGACCCAATCCATAAATGGATGAGTGAAGTCAGGGAACATAGACTGAACCAATTTATATGGCCTTAAGATGTGTTGATTCAGCTTAGTTTTTAAATTTTCCCACATCTTTGCCCCTTTATAATCAGCTAACATTTTCACCAAATTAAAAGGAACAATGGTGTACAAGCTGAACTGGATCAAAGGAAAATAGAGGCATTATTCACAAATAAAAAACTGGATTCAGGATGATGGTGGTGGATAGTTCTTGCTTTCCTCAAAATGAAAAAAACCAGCAACACTATGTTATTTATTTATTTGATTTTTATCATTTAATAAATATATCAAAATGGAGAACATCCATAATACTTCCTCCTTCTATCTTCCCCGTAACAACAATCCTGTTTGGTGATTGGGCTGAGAGTCAATGACTTGCCCAAGGTCATCCCGCCAGCTTTCATGCTCAATTTCTAGGCCAGTACCTTAATCATTAGACCTGTGATGGTGAACCTATGGCATGCGTGCCAGAGGTTGCACGCAGCACCCTCTTTGTGGGCCCGCGAGCTGTCACCCCAGCTCAGCTCCACCATGCATGTGTGCATGCTCCCACCAGCCAGATGGTCTTTGGGTCTCTGCTGCACATGCAAGGGCGCAGGACGTGTGTGAGAGCTGCACACACATGTGTGAGGGCCGCATGCACATGTGGGGGGTTGGGGGGCGTGGGGGAGAGTGTGTGTGGGTGTGTGCATGGATATGCAAGATGCATGTGTGGGGCATATGAATGGGGGGTGCACGTGCATTGTACTTTGGGGGTTCAGGCGCATGCACAAGCATTTGCGTGTGCGCACTTTGGGCACTCAGTCCAGAAAAGGTTAGCCATCATTGCACTATATCATATTGGCTCTTCAGGTTATAATACAAGCTCTATTCCTTTAGAGGTATGTAATATCAACAGATATTACACTCATGATACTCTAATGCCACTTTTCTCCTCCTGCTGTCCCTTGATGCCACTGACTCAGGAAAAGAAATTCAATCTATTTTAACTGAATAGACTGTACTCCCTCTGAAGAAGGTATCTCTGATGTCTGAAAATACTTTGGCCCTTAGCTGTCACTGGAATTTGTAGGTTCTGGCTGTGGCAAGAAGCACTTTTGCAAAACTAAGGCTAATCTTGGTGGTATTAATCTATCCCTTGATTAAATTCATTAAATTGTTATGACCAGCTGCTTGTAGAGCACACACTATTTTTGTAAGTACAATATAAAGAACTTAGGAAAAGGGATGTATTGGAACCCAAAGAAAGTGAACAAGAGAAAAAAACAATAATGAAAAAAGAAACACTACTAGGTTTAAATTAAAAAGTAAACTGTATCTCCCCTTCTCTCCCATGTGTATCCTCATATACCCATAGTTAAATACTTGAATTTAACATTAGTTCATGGAGAAAATCTATCTATCTCATTAGGAGTCAAAAACAACTTGATGGCACATAATCAATTATTGTTACAATTAATTATAATATATGTGCAATAGTTATTACTAGTTCTTACTTGAGCCCTAAAATTATATTCTACATATGTAAGTTGGGCACATCCCTGAGAAATTCTTTAGTGTTATAATTGGTGCAGAAGGGCTGCTGGTTGATACCAAATACAAGGAACCTCATGAAAATTGTTCTGCCCAGTTGGCAGCTCCCTGCTGGATACAGTTAAGGCATTTTATTTGCCTTTAAGGACAACCTGAGAGATCTTATCTCCTGTTGTGCACCTGTCCAACTTGTAAGGTCTACATAAACCCTTTCAAAGAAGTTCCTGTTGCCAGAATGTTGCTTATCAAGATTGGAAGAAGGTTGGTGGAAAGGCATGGAATTCATCCTTTCAGAAGTTATGTTTTTAGCCCCTAACTCTCTTAGCAGTGGGGAAAAAAATCTGCAAAGAACCTTCTCTTTTGCTGGGGTTTAATTGGTTATTGATTTTAGCATCCATTTCCATTTTTAAAAGAAATCTTTCAAGTTTTTAACATGCTAGTTTTCTTAAGTGCTCATTTGTGCAGAATGATAGGGTATAAATAAATCAAACAATCAAATAAGAAAGAGGAAGCACTTAGATTGTAACAATTTGGATACTCAGAAATGTTTTAAAGCAATAAAATAAGCCTGAAAGCCTATTTCTACAACAATCTAACTAAGTTCAGTTTTCTGAAAATGGGTTTGGTATCTACATCCAGCAAAATCAATGCATTCAGAGAACTACAGTATGAAATACCAAGACAATAGCTGGAAAAGGACAGCATAATTGTTACGTGAGCATTTTTGCTTAGGCCTTTTTGTAAGTAAAATTCAGAATACCAGTGTAGAACATAAGGCCTATGATACTGTCAACGCATACCTGAAACAGAGAGCAGAGGTTGGTCCTGGATAGGAAGTGGATCCAGTGGAAGGTGTGCTGTATGGTCTGGCCCAGTGGTGGTTCACTCATGCTCGCACGCAATGCTTCTGCACATGCACAGAAGTGTCCGGGTGAGTGGGCGGAGCCTCCCACCACAGCCACTACCAGTTCAGCCGAATCAGGCCAAACCTGGAGCAACACACCTTTGGTCTAGCCTCTTTAAATGACACTTATCCTTTTAATACATCCACTGGTGGAGACTGTGGAATTACTTTATGAGTTCCAGAGATGTTGGATTATTAAAAGCATCATGTCACGCACAATAAAATTGTGCCAAGGATCTTTATTTTTATACATAAACTCTAAACTTAAAACACAATTTCGAGACATGATTTTGTGTGAGAGTACTGGTAAGGCTTGCTCCATGGGCATAGGCAAGTTCCACAGTTTACAGCATGCCTATATGAATCCATCCCATTCATTCATTCATTCATTCATTCATTCATTCATTCATTCATTCATTCATTCATTCATTCTGACAAACCAGGTAGCCCGAAAAGCAGAGCTGCAATGGCTTCTCTCAACTCAGAAAATCAAGGTATCAAATGCATTTTGTTTATTTAAAAAAATGTTCTACCATCCTTGCCACCATCTGCCAAGAATGGGGAAGGCTTACACAGCCAAAGAATTTGTGCATGTATGTCGAGGCATTTCTATCCATTCTCTCATTTCTGGTATCACTACTGATTTTATATATAGATTCATTGCAGAACATAGAATGCCTTTGTCCTTCTCCAAGTAAGCTATCTTAAGTTGATGGGATACAAAATGCTTAACAGAAGTCACCAATTCAGCCCTATTAACCATTTGAGTCCAGCAGAGGGCACCACTACATTCAGAGATATAAAAATGAAAAATCCGATACTGTGAATAGCAAATAACACAGCAAAGATCACCACTGTTCTTGATCAGCTATTCTAATCCTCCGGAGAATTCCTACAATGAAAAGGAACTGTAGGACTAATATTCTCCCTAGATGTAAAGGCTGGATTGATTCAATTCTAGCAGTCTCATATATTTGAAAACCAGTTTCAACAGTATGTGGCTATTCATCTGAATATTCTTCCCATGAAGTGTCCATTTGTAAGCATGTCGAACAGACCATCTCAGGAGACATGCAAGTTTCATGAACCCTTCCAAAAATCAACTGTTTATATAATTGTTCGGGAGTTCCACACCAAAAATCTTATTGTCTCCATCCAACTGGGGAGAAATGAGCATAGAAGTAGTTAGTGGGGCTTTTACATAGTTTAATTTACAACCAGTTAGCTAGAGAAAATTAGCAACAACATATTAAACTGTGAATAATGTGAATAATACTTACCGACCACATAATTATCAGTCTCCGTGCAACGTAGGCATTTATGATCCAGTAAGTGCATGGAAGAAACGTGATGTAGAAAACTTCCTGGCCCATTGCAGCAGAAATTTTGAACAGGTAGTAGTAGAAATAATTTGTTACAACATAATCTTGTGAACAGTCCTGCAAGGAAATTGTAAGCGTTTTAGTACATTTATAAAAGGAATCCAAATGATATTCAGTTTCAACAATCTTGGTTTTCCTAAAACTGGAACATACAAACAAAAACTCAACTACGGCTTCTCTCTCTCTTTTTTAACCGGCAGGAAGTTACCATAGTTTTCCTGATTCTGTTGCTGCAGTAGGGATTTACTGAACTGATAAGAAGCCCTGGAAGCAAGGTAGCATATTTCAATTTCCCTCATGCTATGATGGTATGAGAAGCACAGCAAAATTCACTGATATTCTTTCCACATTCACTGGTACTATTAAGGATACTTCTTGAAGTTCACCAGTGCCCAAAGACATACAGCTAATCATTCTTTTATCACAACAAAATGATGTTAGTGTTCAGGATATATTCTAAGCTTTTTCTACATTGTCCCCAAAGCTAAGGGTTTAACGACTTCCAAATGTTTCTAATTGGAGGAGGAAAAGCAGAAATTGAATAACCAGAGAATGAATAAAGAAAATAAGGGGGGCGGGAAAGAATAAGGAAAATAAAAGGGGGAAGAGGGAAAGTTTGTAGGAAATGAATAATAGGAAATTTAAGAGAAAGGAAAAGGGTTTTGAGAGTAGATAATATTTCTTTCCTAAATGACATTTACTTCACCATAGAAAAGTGAAATAATTTCTCCACTGTGGAATGTTCTACATTCAGATATTTGCCTAACAAAGTATGTTGGAGGTTCTTGAAGTTTTTAAGAGTTCTTGGAATGAAGGTATCAATGAAAACATTGGAGAATAAATCCATCATGGAACGGTGGGGAATCTCTCAAGCCCACTGGATTTGAAAGCAAGGAAATGCTAACAACTGAACAAACTTTGTCATGGGAGCCAAACAGAATGAGACAGATCATCTGCAGGATTATAAGCACCACATGCAACAATGAGAATTCCAATGGAAGAATTTTAAATTTATTCCACATATCAGAGAAAACTATTACAAGATGTCTTATTGTTGGAACACCACTCCAATCCTGACTACTAAAAATGGACAATTCTTTCTCTAAACTTTGCTAGAAATGTAATCAAGAGAGCAAATCTCTTTTTCCGTAATGGGTTGCAGTGTTGTAAAGCTCAATTCTGGGAAATGATTAATACTAACATTTAAAAAGATCTTAAAAGCTGAATTCCCATTTCAGCCTCAATTTTCTCATTAAACCATGTATCCCTTCAAAGTGTATTTAATTAGCATTACATATGGTAGCTGCTGCAAGATTTTATGCCTTTCACTGAAAAGGTTCTTTGTCCATGGAAAAATGTCTAACCAAATTTGAGAGTATGCTTCAATGTTTAGAATATAATTGTACCTTAAAAGTAAATTTGACATAGAATTCAACTCAATCCATCCACAGATTTCAATTTAATGCATGGGTTTGTACCATATGCATAATTTGAATTTCTCCAGGTATGGAACCTATACTCCAATTGCACAGGATATTTCATCAGAAGAGTTTCTAAAATAATGTGGATTGAATGTCTTTTAATTGATAATTCTACATAGTGATTTATACTGTGTTGACAGAGATTCTTGAGATGGATTCCTAAGCTGTAGTTTCGAGCTTAATTGTGACTTTTTGTTTTTAAAAACTGTGTAACTCGGCTAACTCTGCTTACTGTCAGGAATTCGATTTTGACCGGCTCAAGATTGAGCCAGCCTTCCAGCCTTCTGAGGTCGGTAAAATGAGGATCCAGATTGTGTAAACTGACTCTGTAAACCACTGAACTGTAGTACTATAAACACTATGAAGTAGTATATACCGTAAATCTTAGTGTTATTACTATAGTACACTGTTATTTATATCTAATTAATGAAAAATACAAGCTCCACTATACTTTAAAATGTCTTCTTTATTCACCTATAGTTTAGTTTTTATCCCTTGTTCTCATCTTTTTAATAGTAGTCTACATATTTTAATCAAAATTTAAAAAATGAAACTATTTTACAGATAGATGGAACAGTGAGTGACAAATCCAAAGGATGTTAACTCATTCAAGGAATCCTAGAAGTAATTTACAAGATGCTAGGAAGAGTATTGATTTAACAGAACTGTCTTCTCAATGAAACCTGCATAATGACATTATGGTTTATTTTCTTGAATAATGAATACAGAAATGACACAATATAACAACATGTCTCTTTACAGTCAACTTCATAATACAGATGTTGAATGTCATATTGCAACAAAATCCATAAATAGAAAGGTGTTTCAGTTTAGCTAGAAGGCTAATATTTGAGTAGTTATCAAAATATACTGCCCTGCTCTAGATGAGATTCTAGGATCTTCATATCTTATGCATAACTAAATAAGGCTCCAGATACAAGAACAGCAAGAACAGATATAGTTGAAACAGATTTTCTCAAGGTTTGCAACACCAGTGTTTCTCCCACCCTGTTCTGGATGTTGATGAGCCAACCATCTTGAAACAAAAGTAATGTTGATGTCTTCAGTATACAGCAAGGCACAACATATGTTGTATAATTGAGCTTTGTTTTATTTGGCATATGGTGCTATAATGAAGATTTGTTTACTGTTATATAATTTGTTATATATCTATTTCTAAGGTTTATATACAATTCAAACAGTTAACAAATACTTTTGTTTAATCAACTAGTTGTTCCTAGTAATATAAAATTACAAAGAAACAATCTTAAATTTCTATTTTTTCATTTGTTTTTATATAGTTATTTCAAATTCCTTATTCCCTGGAGCACAGAACATAGTTCTCACAGCAGACTTTTTTCTACTTCTAAAAATAAAACTCACTCAGCTATATATTAAAATAAACTCTGTTCTTGGGTACTGAAGGGTATTGACAATGATGTTCATATAACATAATGCTAGACAACCACTACCAAGCAGATCTCCCTTTTATTGTCCACAAGGTTCCCTGATCCACTTAATTTTATTTCTATTATTTCCAATCCAACAGAATGATGGAAAAAATTAAGGAATTCAGGACTTTCTGTTTATCCACTAGAAAGTCTTTAAGTCTTTAAAACTGAACAGAATGAGACCAAATCTGGTATTGGAGAAGAAACTGGGGGGAGGGGGAGTCTAAAAGAGAATCAGGTTCAGATCTCCCACTGAGTGGAGGAAAAAAAAATCCCCACGGAGTTGGTGAGCAGCTCCAAATGTACCTGACTCCTCCCCTGTAAACCTCTGCTTTCTGCCGCTGAGGCCCAGAATAGAAATGACAAGCCCACTGTGTGCTTCTTATGTGCATATACTCAGAAACATAAAGAAACGCCATACAAGGGGAGATCATAAACATAAATATATCTGCTGTTTTTTCACATGGAAGAAAATATAGACCATACTGTTAAAAAGATGGGAAGAGATGGGAAGCCTTGTCCCTATTTCATTTTCATGGCCATTGTTATGAATGAGAAGAGATCCAACTTGACCAACAAAAAGTTATTATTTGTATTTATTAGTTTGTCAAACATGTACAAGAGGTATTAATATAAACATGGACATGAACAAAACAAATGAATACAAATAAATGGAGACAGTAGGTCAGGGATGGTAGGCATTCTAGTGCCTAATGCATAACCCCTTTATGGACCTCTTAGGAATGGGATGACGTCCACGGTAGACAGTTTAAGGTTGAAGCCGTGAGGGTTAGAGGATGTAACAACAGAATCAGGTAGAGCATTCTAGGCATTGACCATTTTGTTGCTGAAGTCGTATTTTCTACGATCGAATTTGGAACAGTTTACGTTGAGTTTGTAATGATTGTTTGCCCTTGTATTATTGAGGTTGAAGCTGAAGAAGTCATTGACAGGTAAGACGTTGTAGCAGACAATTTTGTGTACTGTGCTTAGATCATACTGCAGGGATTGCAGTTCCAGATTGTCCACGCTCAAAATTTCAAGCCTGGTGGTATAGGGAATTCGATTGTGAGTAGAGGAGTGGAGTACTCTCCTCATAAAGTACCTCTGCACCCTCTCAATCATATTAATGTCTGATATACAGTGTGGATTCCAGGCACAGCTATATTCAAGAATTGGTCTGGCAAAGGTTTTGTATGCCCTAGTTTGTGACCCATCAAAACCGCGGTCCACTAAAGCGTGCCCAATCAAAGCGCGTACGTGACATCATCATCAGCGTGACAAATAAAATTAAAATAAAATAAAATTAAAATTAAATTAAAGCAAGCCGATTCACATAAAGGTAAGGGTTAGGGTTAGGGTTAGGGTTAGGATTAGGTTAAGGGTTAGGGTTAGGGTTACGTTAAGCGTTAGGGTTAGGGTTAGGTTAAGGGTTAGGGTTAGGGTTAGAGTTAGGTTTAGGGTTAGGTTTGGGGGGGTTAGGGTAAGGTTTTCACGTTAATTTTAAATTTACGACTCACAGCGTGCCGTTTTCGTCGCGCTGTGATGATGTCACGTACGCGCTTTCGTCGAGCGCGCTTCAGTCTACCGCGGATTTGTGGTGGAACCGCCCTAGTTAGCAATCCAATAGTAACGGAGAAGAAGCTTCTCAAAATTAGGTTAACAACTCTTAATGCCCTTTTGGCAATGCTGTTTACAGTGCACAAGGCACATATGAAGCTTTGTAAGGAAGCCCAAATGGATACAAAGCAAATTCATATGTTGCCTTTCCAATGATTGAGCTAAGAGGCATAGCAACTCCAACTGGCAGCATTACTTTGTTAGAGCAGTTGACAGGGGATTGTGTAGATCACCTGCAGTGCATCTGAGATTTGCCAGGCATTTGGCAAGCAATTTCTGAGAACAGGAAACTAGTTCAGAAGTAGAGCAAATCAATAAGCTCTCAGGACTAAACTAGAGACAAATGTAACTGTATAAAGGCAGTAAGTGTGCATGGTAAGCTGCTACAATGCTTTGCTTAAGATTAATCACATGGAAAGCTGGATGACCTCAGAATTTGGGGCAAGAAAGAAGGTTGCCATTTTCTTGCTAGGACTTTGCCGAAAGTGGCATTTCTTGGAGCTGC